CTTGCCTCAGGCTGTGGGGAGTAGCTCAGGACCCCATCTCAGGAGATGGGAGCCATCTCTTGCTGCTCTGGTGCAGACCTCCTGTCGCCCCCAAGATCCTCCCGCCCGTGCCAGTCGATCTCCGGCAGCGGGTCGTCCGAGGTGCCGGCCTCCGCCTCTGGAGAAACCCAAACGTACCGATACCGCTACTCCCCAGAACTCTCCTGGGGTGCGTCCCGACCAGAAGTTCGAGGCGAACCCGGCGGTGGCGGCGAGGGCCTCCCAGGAGGCCCAAAAAGGCGAAACACGAGGCCGGGGTAGCGGTATGGGTACCTTTCCCTCCTCTGAGCCTCCACAGCGGCGGACTCTGGCTCTGGCGCCGGCACCGCTGCGGCGTCCGACTGCGCCCTCTCCGCCTTGCACGCAGAAGGCACCCCATGCGCCACCACCGCGGCCGGCCAGGGCCAGCCCCGGGCCCCGGCATGTATACCCGAGGAGCCAGGAGAAGGGGGAAGCAAAAGGCACCGATGCCGCTGCTACCCGGGCTGGACCAAAAAACCAACGACACCACCATGGTCGGGCCCTTTCGCTCGCTTCGCCCTGCGTCCCTTCGTCCGCCCTTCGTTTCGGCTCGGGCCCCCTCGCGCCCTCGTTCGCTCGGGCTTTCACGGAGTTAGCGCATTGACTCCCACCCACGCACCAATATGAAAAAACGGCACCGCCCCACCTACGACCCAGCGATGTTAAAAGATTCGGCACTTACCAACCTACGACCACCTACGAAGCACCTGCCACCACCCTACCTACGACCCACCTGCGACCCAGCGGGTCGCAGGTGGGGTGGCGTCGTTTGGCTCTTGGTCGACGGGTCCAAAAGGAGGAAACGAGGCAAGGGCAGCGGTATCGGGACCTTGTCCTCCTCGGTGTCCCAGGGCCCACCACGGCCCCGGCCAGGCGTGGTGGCTTTTGGGTGCCTTCTGCGAATCCTTGAGCCGCTCGTGCTCCTCCTTGAGCCGCTCGTGCTCCTCCTTGAGCCGCTCGTGCTCCTCCTTGAGCCGCTTGGCCTCGAGCACCTCCTTGAGCCGCGTGTGCTCCTCCTGGAGCCGAGCGTGCTCCTCCATAAGCTGCGCGTGCTCATCCCTCACGGGAGGACGCCAACTGCCCACCTGCACCGATCCTGGCCAGGCCCATCCTATACCCAGGATCGCTGCATCCAGTTTGGCAGAGGAGGAGGAGGAGGGTCGCCTAACCATGGAATGCGACGGCGACAGCGATAGGGGGAGGGGGGGGCCTCAGGGGAAAGAGCAAGAAGGCCCTCTGGGGGAGGAGGAAGAAACGAGGCCCCTTCTCGGCGCCAGAAAAGGTGCACAAGCAGAACGAGAGGAACAGCCATGGGAGGGCCTGTAATAGACAAGCGCGTTCCACTACTCGCAAAGTAACTACTCGCAAATGGCCCAGATCCGCCGCGGCGGATGTACAGTACATGTCATAGAGGAAGACGTGTTTTTTTCCCGACGTTTGCGAGCAGGCACTTTGCGAGCAGGCACTTTGCGAGGAGTGGAGCGCGCTCGGTGCTAGAAGGAACATCGAGCCCCTGCCGATCCCAAACTGCTCCTTGCTTCGGCGCCTTGGCTCTGCCCCTCCCAGCCTGGCCCGGAAGGCTGAAGGGGAACTGGGACACACAAATAAGTACACACAAATAAAAATATCCCCCATATTTTCCCATCTTTTCTGGGTTCTTGTCTTCCCCCCCCTCTTCCCATATTGTCCCATATGTTCTGGGAATCGCCGATGAATTGTGTCTGTGTGTTTTTTTCCCCTCCTGAAAGGCGCGCTGACCGATCCTGGGACCGGGCCCGGCCTGGCGCCAGGCACGGCGCGGGTGCACACGCCCTGCCCTCTGGCGGGCGTGGGGCTCTCGAGCCCCTGCCGGCGATCCGGGGCCGATCGGGGGCCGACGCCTCCCCACCGGAGCCGGCCCCCCCGAGACGAAGCCAGGGCGAGGACTATCGATCGAGCACCTCTGAGATCTGGCGGCTCTCTGGAGGATGTCTCGGGCGCCGCGGCCTGCTCGGAGCAAGCCAGGACGCTCTCGAGAGAGCGTTCTGGCACGCTCTGGATCGGAATTATCTCCTCGTCCTGGCCCCGCCCGACCCCTCCCCTTGGCATCGCCCCCCTGACTGTCGGGTCATGGCTCGGCTCTTCGGCAGCCGCTCGGTACGACCTGGGCACCCCCCGGAGCGCCCTCGGCGACGCGCAGCTGCTGGAAGTGAAGTGCACCCCGAGGCCGGAAAGCGGCCGAGAACGAAGGCGCGCGAACACCTCGAACTACTTGGACGCCCGAGTTATCCGGGGTAACTCGGGTCCGGGGTAACTCGGGTTTGGATTCCCAGTTACCCCTGATGGTGTGGGGCTCTGGACGCCCGAGTTATCCGGGGTAACTCGGGTCCGGGGTAACTCGGGCTCGGATTCCCGAAAAACGAACCCGAGTTATCCCTGACCCGAGTTACCCCTGATGGTGTGGGGCTCTGGACGCCCGAGTTATCCGGGGTAGCTCGGGTCCGGGGTAACTCGGGCTCGGATTCCCGAAAAACGAGCCCGAGTGATCCCTGACCCGAGTTACCCCTGATGGTGTTCGGGGCTCTGAACTACCTCGAACCCCCCTCTGGCCGCCCCCAGCATCGCCCCCCGACCTCAGCCTCTGGGTCTCGGTGGCGTTGGCCTCCGCGTAGAGGCCGCCCGCCGGCTGCTCCGCGGCCTGCTCCGCGGCCGCGCCGGCCTGCACGGTCGCGGCCTCTGGCTGCGGCGCCGGGCCCTCCTCGGCGTCGGCGCTGGCGCTCGGCAGCGCCTCCTCGGCGGCCCCCTGCGCCTCCTCTGAGGGAGCCAAGGGGCACCGAGACCGCTACGGTCGGCGTTGGAAAGATGGCGTGCCACAGCGGTCTCCCAGAGTACGCTGTCCCTGTGAGGCGATGCCCGCGGGAGGGCCCCTTCTGAGCACGCCTTCCCTCTGCCAGAGCCTCTTCGGTGTGCAGTGAGCGAGCCGGCGGCGCCACATCGCACGCTCTCTTGCCAATGCCAACGGTACTCCCTGGGCCTCTCCAGTGGCGCGTGCTGACCAAGACTTCGAGGCGTATCCAGCCGTGGCGACGAGGGCCCCCCCAGGAGAGGCCCAAGAAGGCGACAACGAGGGAAGGGCAGCGGCATCGGTACCTTTTCCTCCCCTGATCCTCGGCCGCAGCGCTCGCCGTCGCCTCCTCCGTGGGCGCACGACACATCCGCATCCGCGCCCTGGCGGGCCGGGTCCCTGGGCCGCGACCCCGCGGATACGGCGCGTCCCTGCCGCGGATGCCTCGCGCGGACACGCACCCGTGTGACCGCGCGCCCGCGGCCCCGGGATCCAGACCGCAGGGCGCGGATGCGGATGTGTTCGCCGCTCATGCCTCCTGCCCCCTCTCGTCGAGGTTCGGCAGCGGTTCCTCGTCGACGTCCGCCGCGAGCGCGTCGGCCCCCGCCGCGTCAACCAGCTGCGGCAGCTCCCCCGACGCATTGGCCTCCGTTTGGGTCGGGCATGTCCTCCCACAGGCGGATTTATGGCGAAGAATAAAGCACAGTCAAACAATGCCCAAACATTAACAAATTCTTCGACAAATCGTCCCCCGACTCTTTTTGGACGATTTCCCCTGTTGTGGGACAGGCCCGACTTAGGCCTCCGTCGCCAGCGCCTCCGCGGTGGAGTTCGCCGCGAGTCCGTCGGCTCCCGACGCGTCGGCCGGCTGCGGCAGCTCCCCCGAGGCATTGGCCTCCGTCGCCGGCGCCTCCGCGGGGAAGCTCGCCGCCGGCACCTCCGCGGTGGGGACCTCCTCGGGCGCCCGCGCCTCGGAGCTGACGGGCGCCCGCTCCTCCCGGCCACGCGCAGAAGGGGGGTGTTGAAGGCTTGGAAATGGACACCGACACCAAGACAGGGGGTTGTATTCACTGGGGGAACATCATCACCAGCACCATCATCATCATCATCATCATCATCATCATCATCATCATCATCATCATCATCATCATCATCATCATCATCATCATCATCATCATCATCATCATCATCATCATCATCAGCATCAGCATCAGCATCAGCATCATCATCATCATCATCATCATCATCAACAACAACATCATCATCGGGGCTGTGTCCACCAGTGGAAATGATCCTGGATTTTGGTGTTGGTGGTCATTTTTCAGCCACCTGGGAAGCCCGAATATGGTCACCATCACCGAGAGTGAGATCTACAAATGGCAAACCACAAATCACAATCCACAAATCACAAACCCCCCCAAAAAACGACAATGATAGATAACAACAATAATTACAGTGGCGAGAAAATATTACCCCTCCCCCCTGGCCCCCTTGGTGCGCGCCGCCACTCCGGCTCCTCCGCGGTGGAGTTGGCCTCCTCGGGCGCCGCCACCTCCGAGGTGGACTCGGCCCCCTCCGCGGCCGCCTCCGCCTCCTCGGCGGCCGGGGCCGGCACGGGGGCCATCGGCGGCGGCCTGCGCCTGCCCTCCCGCTCGCTCTCCCACTTCTCCTCATAGGCGTCGGCAATCTCTCCGTCGGCGTCGGCGTCGGGGCCCGCTGCAGCGTCGCTCGCCCGCGCGGCGTCGGCATCCGCCACGCGTGCCGCGTCCTTGGACGTGCCGCAGGGCATCTCGCAGAGGCTTCCCTTCGTCTTGTGGAGGAACTCCTGGAAATCCATGAAGGTAGACTTCAGGGAAAGGCCGGGGTACCAATTGGGGCGGTCGTGGATGCCAACCTCTTGGGCCCAGGTCACTGCTTCGTAGCACAGCTCGCCGACCCGGGTGTCGCGGCACTCGTCCGCCAAGCCGTCTGCCGCTAAGCGCGACTTTGTCGATTTGACGATGGCCAAGTGCCTGTGGGCGACCTCTTCCTCCTCCTGCTCCGGGGCGCTCTCGTTGGCGTCAGGCTCCTGCTCCTCGGAGGCGCTTGTGAGCAGGCAAATGCGATTTCTAAATCTTCGCGCAATCCGACGCTGGGGGGGGGGGGGGAACAAGGTCGGACCCGCGAGGGTTGGTGTGGCTAGGGGTGGGAATTTGGGAGGCTCTTGAAACGGTCAGCAGGGGTGCAATGGTCGCGGGGGCTCGCTGTCAAATACCTGCCATGTCACTGGGCAGGCACGTGAAAACACATGGTCGATTTGTTTTAGAATTCTACACGTGGGACTGATGCATATCACAGGGTCAATTGCGACCGAAAGACGCGCGGGTAAATTAGCTCATGGGGGTGCCCCTGAGGATTGCTGAGCTGCCCCAAACGAAATTGCAACACTCAGGGGGAGAAGCGGCAGGAGGAGGACGAGGCCAAGGAGTAGGACGAGGAGGACGATTTTGGGTCCACGCGTAGCGCGGTTTAGAATAGAAGGGCAGGGGGGCGGGAGGGAGTGCGCGAGGTCGCGCCTCTCAGGGACTCTTTTGGGGCTCTGGCTCGTCTCATCCAGCCTCGTAGAGGCTTCCTGGGAGCCTTTTCGGAGCCTCCTGGGGGCTTACTGAGCCGTCTCGAGGGGTCTTGGCCTTTTGGGCCGTCCTCAGGTCGTGTTGGATTCCTCTGGAGCCCCTCCTGCAGTTCTGCGGGCCTCTCCAGGTGGTTACTGGGACCTCTTGGGCCACTGTGGGGCCCACTGGAGCCTCTCTGAGGCCATGCTGAACCAAGATAGCCAACAAACGCCATATTGATGATTTGGGCTGTCCAGGGTCATATGAAAGGGTTGTGGAGCCTCTGTTGGGGCATCTCGTGAATTTCATAGGGGCCCCGTTGGGCCTCTTGGAATATCGTTGACCCGTCCTGGGCAATTGGAGGCAACGGAGAAAACTGCACAAACATGCACTTTCGGATATCCGCGCAGAGCTCCGAAAGGGCATGTGCATGCAGTTGTGTCATCTTCGCGATTGTGGAGTCCGTTTGAGCCATCTTGGACAGCTCTGGGAGGCCGATAAGCAAACTTGATATGCCTATTACGGGCACAGCGCGAAGAGCTGTCTCTCGGGCCTACTGCTGCTATGATTATGATTGTTGAGGATTGCGGCTACCTGCTGCTGCTTTGTGACGCTTGCTCCTGTCCGCTGCAGCGTATTGCTGGTCGCCGCTGCCTGTGGCTGTGTGCTGCTACTCACTGCGGCTTGGGCATCTATCGGGCACGCTCGTCTCTCTCTCTCTCTCTCTCTTACAGCCTCTTTGAGATTGTTGGACAATCTCGGGGCCTCACAAGGTCGGACCTATCCTTCAAGAACATGGGACCCTCCGCTGGCCAAAGAACCTCAGACCATACGATAATCGAGGGAACCCTCCCCCAGGATGCGCAAGAACATATGTCAAGCACAAAGAACATTAGAATACCCTCCCCGAACCGACCTCGATCCTATACCTCGGTCCGACCGTAAACCGTTTCGGTATCCTCTAGGGATCTCCTGGACCGTCTCAACCAGCTCTTTGGGGGGGGGGGGGGGGGCGCATCTTCGGGCCTCCCAAGAGCCGTCCGGGGGCGCCTTGGGGCTTTGTGGGGGGGCTCTTTGAGGCTGCTGTTGCGCCGTGCTGCTGGGCCTCTCTGGAGCTCTCTCGGGCCGCGCTGGGACCACCATACGGTCAACCCTTGTGACAAGGACGCACGATCAGGATGATCTGCGGGCGGGGCACGGCCAGCGAAAGCGGCCGAGCATCGGCCGAAGGGGAAGGATGCAAGGGTAACCTTGGAAAGTCGCTCATCCTTAATTATTATGCGGGTTGACTGTAGGACCTCTTGAAGATAGAGCACTCTATTGCACAATTCCTCGAGGTTCTCCGCATGCTGCAGCCGCCAGAGGCCCTCGCACCCCCCCCCCCGACCCGCGCTACGATCTCCGTCGACCCTCGCAGTCGGCCCCCTCAACCTTGCACTCCCCGGCCCCACCCCTGTATTCGTTAAGTGGTGCCTCAGTTGCTGGAGGTCGCTTGTCGATTGTCTGCACTGGCTCGTACTCGTCGTACTGGTCGGAGTCGACGTAGCCGTCCCAACTCTTGTCCATGAAGCGGCTGAGCTCGTCCGGCGTCATATCCGAGACCCTCTTCAGGACGCGCCGCGTCTCCTTGATCTGCCTGGGACAGGGCCAACCGCACACGTTGTCCCCACGCTGGTACAAATGCTCCTGGATATCATCGCGGCTCGAGTGATTGGTGAGCCCCGGGTACGCCTCGGGGTGCCTCCAGAAATCAAAGTCCATGACTTTCGTGATCGCCCTGTAGCAATGCGAGGCCTCCTCCGCATGCTCGCAGGACGTGGTGTGGGCCCGGAAGGGATAAGTGGTGGTGCTGGGCCCCTGCTCGTCCTGGGAGCCCGCCGTGGCGTTGCGCTCCTGCCCGCGGCAGGGTCGTGGGCAGCTCATCTTGTGCTGCTTGTGCAGCACGGCCTGGAAGTCTGCGATGCTGGACTTCTGGGTGAGCTCGGGGTACCTAAGGGCAGGGCTCGACCTAGACAGGGTCGTCCGTTTCCGTGTTGTGTTCGTTTTCGCTCGTTTCGTCTTCGCTCCGCCTTCGCTGCAAAACATCAGCCAAAACGAACACGGTCCGCGAAATCGCCAAAACACCGTTTAGGTCGAACCTTGACCTGGGGGGGACAGAATCGAGAAACAACAGAAACATGAACATCATTTCTCTGAGGTCCGCGCTCCGATCAGCGCGGGACCCCATTCCCTGGCGCGCGGGGCGCGCCATGTGCGGCGTCAGAGGCGCCGCCAGGGAGGCCCAGCGCCGACCTTCGAGAAATCAGGTTTACGCAAGCTTTGTTTTTCGATTCTCCCTGAGCTCTCCCAAGGAGCGATCTGACCAGGAGTTCCAGGCGAGTCCGGCCGTGGCAAGGAGGGAAGGGCAGCGGCATCGGTGTCCGTTTCCCCCCGAATGCCATTTCGGATGCTTGGCCAAGCCCGTGCTCTTCAGCCACAGGATGGACGTGTGGCACCACTCGCCCTCCACGGTGTCGGCGCAGCTCGCGGGCTCCGGGATCCTGTAGGCCTCGCTCACCACCTGTCGGCCCTCGACAGTGACCTCGAGCACCTTGTCGCCATCGGCCAGCTGCACGCGCTGGTAGCCCGCGCGGTCCCGCCCTGCCAGAAGCTCCCCCGCACCTCGCTGGCAGGGCTTCGGGCAGTCACCCCTGCCAAGGGAGTGCAGGCGCTCCTGGACCTCCTGCAGAGTCCGGCGGCCCCCGCTTGCCAGGGGCGAGCGGGCGCGTGAGACGTTTGGCCCTCCCCCATTGAGCCTTTCCCCTTCCCCTAGGGCCCAAAATGCAAGTTTAGGGCGGGGGGGGCGAGCTCGACGGCACACCTCTGGGGCCCTCTGAGCCTCCGAGTCCACCCTCCGTGGGCGCCAAGATACCCAAGATGCCTTCTGCGACGGCTCCAGACGGGCGCACACACGGCAGAGAGGCCTCAAGGACAGCCAAGATGGCCTCAAAGCGGCGCAAGACGCACCAAGACGCCCAAGTCGGCCTCAAGAGACGAAACCGATGCTACAACAATCGGTTGTCATACTATATGTTTGAATGATGTTCACGTTCTTGCCATTTCGGGCTTTCGAACATCCGAGATTCCAAGACGGCACGAGAGGCCTCCCAGACCTGCCCAAGACAACCCAAGAGACCCCCACAAGAGGTCCCGGAGATGCCTGGAGACGGCTCAAGAAAGCCCTAAGACGGCCCAAGAGGCTCCCAAGACTAACAAAGATGCTTTCAAGAGGCCTCAAGAAGGGCCCAAGAGAGGCCTAATAATATGGGGAACTCGCTAGGACACTGGGAGCCCTCCCCCACCAAGATAGAACCCAAGACCCCTGACATGCCCCCAAGAGGCCCCCAAGAGACCCTCAAGAAGACCCCAGAGAGCCCCAAAAAGCACACAGAAGCCCAGCAACAGACGCGGAGGAAGAGAAGGACGAATCAGCAACAACTACATGCAGCACGACGGAAAGCGGCAAACAACAGATACGAAACCAAAAACCGCACGTCTCCTCTTCGGGGGGGGAGGCGGAATGGCCTGAGCCTCTTGAATGGAATCGGCGGTGACTTCCGGGTACCACGCGGGGTGCTTCTTGATCCCCTGCGTGCGGAGCCAGGTCACGGCGTTGTAGCACACGCTGCCAGGCTGCAGGTCCTGGCAGCCCTCGGCCTCGACCTCGCCCGCGCGGGCCGGCGCCCCGATCCTGGTCTTCGGCGCCCAGCTGCTCTCCATCACCCCCTCGAGCTCCTCCTGTACGCAGAAGGCATCTATGCACCACCGCCCTTCCTGGCCAGGGCCATCCTGGGCCCTGGCATGGTGTCTACGCCTCCTGGCCGAGGCCAGAACGGTCTATGCACCATCGTGGAGCCCAGGGTGGCCCTGGCTGGGCGCGGTGGCGGTGTATAGATGGCATCTGCGGATCCTGACTGAGGCCGTAGGTCTGGTTGACCTGGACCTTCCTGGTGGAGCTCTGGCTCTGTATGAGCCCCAGCGTCCGCTGCCCCGCCGAGTCCCCAGCGCACGGCCGCGAGCAGCTGGCCTCGCCGAACTGATGCAGGAGCGACTGGAAGTCCTGCAGACTGTACTCACTGACGTCGCCGGGGAACCAGTCCGGGTGCTCCTTGGCGCCGCCCTCGTTGGCCCAGGTCACTGCGGCGTGGCACCACTCCCCGGCGGTCGCTGTCACGCATGCTCCCGACTCGTGATCCGCTCGCTTCTCGGCATGCCCCAAGACGCGATCAGACCGGGCGCTGCGGCGAAGATTGACCGCTTGGCAGGACCGCAGGAGAAAGCCGACTAGAAAGAGAGGGTTCATCGCTGTATGAAAAGTGTCGGATACAGTGCCGAGGTCATGAGCCCCCAAGTGGCTGCCCATATTCATGCTGCGCACACGCACACACACACAGACGCGCACACACACACACACACACACACACACACACACACACACACACACACACACACACACACACACACACACACACACACACACACACAC